TGTTTACCATTAATACAGAATGTGCTTATAAGGCCAAGATGTTTATTTTTAATACCTTTGGCATTTAACCTTGAACTTATTTGCTCTGTAAATATGAAGTCCCAGCAAGGTAAAAAAATAAATAAATAAAAATATTAAAAACTCACCATGGAGAAACTCACTTTAATCCCATATTGATAAAAACACAAAGTCGCTGCATCTTTGTAAAAAAAAGAAAACAGGAGATGACACAAACTTGGAAAATCATGTCTACATAATGTTGATATATCCCATAATGAAGCTCACAATAGTATGCATGTGTATAGAGGTTTCAAAATATTTCTGTTTTTTGAAGCTGATGAAAAAAGCTTTCACAAGTTCTTACCAGGTAATCAGACCCAGGCCTCTCCTCATCAGGAAATGCAGAATACTACCTGCTCTCTCATTTTATCTCACATGATCCTGGAACATTTACACTAAGTACAAGAAGCAAAAGATCATATATTCCAAGTCATATTTGCCAAAATGCTCATTCTCTAGCTCCAAGGATAACCTGCAAAACCAGACCTCAAATTCATGAGATGAGATTCAATGGGGGGAGAGAGCAACAATAGGTCCCTCATGCAATATTATGGGGTGGAAGGCATTTTCATTGGAAAAGGACATTTTGAAGGGTTAAGCGAAAGAAGTTCAATTTACAGCTTCACCACAGTGGAGCTATCTACACTAGTGTTTAAATAGCTCAGAACACAGCCACTGAATGAAGACTTTCCATATAATAGCTTAGAGATGCCATGGGCAGAAAATACCAGGTGACTCCTCTTACGTGAAACCCAGTAAGAAGGCGTGGATCAGTAAAAAGGTAACACCATTACTGGGTATGGCTGAAGTTTAGACATTCCTGCTGGTGAGGAAGGAAGCACTGTGGTTGACAGGACACTGCTTTGAGATTTACAATACAGTGGCTGCAAACAGCCAACTTACACGTGTGTGTTTTGGCCTCTCAGCAATAACTGGAATGCTTTTAAAATTGGCAAGCCTGGCAGAAAAATCTGGATTTCCAGCTTCTCTTGAAAGATGTTAAAAGGGTTGATGTAACTAACCATGGCCTAGGCTCAAGTAATGGTGTATTTAGATGGGCATGTATGTTCTGTATTGACTCTCCAGAGGCCAGCTTCTCCCCATCAAAAATTGTACCCTGTCCTCCATAGACACTGAGTTTTCAACTACTGATAGAGCTGAAATCCTTGGCAAAGCTGTGCAGGAGTCACTGTCAGCTTCTGAAACTGCATCTTCCAGGTCTCCATTCCTCTCTATCAGCTGCCTCACTGGGCTTCCCTACTTGCCCTGGGCTGGCCCAACCACACTGGCCTCTAGATCATGCCCTGGACTCCAGATCTTTTCCTAACCCCTTTGCCTCCATTAAAATTTTTCTGTATATGCCAATCCACTCCTTTCGGTTTCGGTTTTATATTGTGTTGCTTTGCCCAAGAGATTACTAGCAATCTGATAACCTAATCAGTGAAAATGGCCTAGGTTGTCTTCCCAGAAAATATATTGGAAATGGATTCCAGACTTTCTAAATACATGCCATGCCTTCACCCAAAGAACTTACCTACCTGTAGTTAGCTAATCAGATTTCTAAGTTCCTAAGTCTATTCCTGTGTATTTGTATGCATAATCACTACAGCTTTACTCCTAAGTAATATTCAAGTAAGGGAAAGTGAATATATTCTAAGGTGATGGCCAATTCAGATTTACTTAAATATTTCAGTATATCTAAATCACATAAGCCCTATGAATCTTAATTTCGGGGTCCAAAGTATATAGCAGAACTATAGACATGAGTTCCAGCCCATTAAACAGTCCACACTGGTCAGTACCACAGAAGGAGAACTTCCTTTACAGATGATGAGTCAGATTCGACAGAGAAAAACCTAGGTATGATTATTAATTCAATTCAAAGGAAACTATTGTACCCTCTAACCAACATTCACTAAATTATAAAGACATGCAGAGATTTTTTTCCCCCAGTTCTTCAAGTTTCCTAAGGAAAAAAGATACAAATTACTATTGCCTGGTAGTGTTCCTGATTCTTTGGAAATGGAAAACACTGTCCCAAAGTGAGTTTTCAGGAGAAAGACATGAGGTGAACCATACTGCACACTGTGTACTTGAGGCAGAAAATGGCCATCTTCCTTATGAGTCACAATTGAATGAGTCTTGGTAGGGCCTTGGACACAGATGGAGAGCCTTCCTAGCAGCATACTAGGTGCACACACACACACACACACACACACACACACACACGAGTACAGGTGCTTTCCCTACAGCCCAGCCAAGGACCAGAGAGCCTTCCTAGTATGCTGCCAGACTTCCTAAAAGACTGCACGCACACACACACACACACACACACACACACACACACACCACACACACACACACACACACACAAACAGGAGTACAGGTGCTTTCCCTACAGCCCAGCCAAGGACCAGAGAGCCTTCCTAGTATGCTGCCAGACTTCCTAAAAGACTGCACGCACGCACACACACACACATACACACACACACACACACACACACACACACACAGAAACAGAAACAGGAGTACAGGTGCTTTCCCTACAGCCCAGCCAAGGACCTGATGACTTCTATTCCCCAAGCTAACGCTGGCCACACACACCTAAGGCAGCGCTCCCTCTTCCTGCCCTAACAGCTGAGGGATGCAGCTGAGCGGACCCGACAGATGCGACCCAACATGAGGGCTCCTTTGGCTTGGCTGGATCTTATAAGCAGTAAACATTATAATGATGGTTTCTGACTAAGACGCTGATGCTCCGTTCTAAGGAAAACTTCACCTATCTAATGAACAGACTTAATTTTTCAAGCCACTGAAGAAATAATTCACTTAATTTTTTGACAAATTGCTCTAGACCCAGTGGACTCAGTGATGGCCGATCTTCTACTTCAGGACACCCAGCTGTCTCCACTTTTCCATCAGGGAATCACAGCCTCAGCAGCCTTATTGGGGACACTGATGGTCTTCTGGTACCCGCAGGCGCTGGTCGGAACCCATCCACAGGTAAGTCACCACCTGTGCTCTGATAGACACACCGTTTGACCATTTGACCAACCATCTACTTCAACAGTAATGGGACCAAATAGCGCATTGAGTCTCCGAGATCTCCAGAAAAGACATTCAAAACTCCTTTGTAGTCTGTCCAGCATGAAAAAATGAGTTAACTAAGGGAAAGTTAAGGTACCTTAATTCAATAGGATTCTTTAAGCTCTTGCCATAAACACATTGATTTTTTTTTTTTTTAGAAATATTGAACCATGGAATATAATTATAGCAATTCTAAAGTACTGGGACTATCACATTGCTTAAGTTCAAGTAACCAATTAGGCAGATCCAGCCAAGCATACTCAGTGTAATGTAAGTTAATGGTTCTCTATAGGGGTTCCAAAAATAATGTAGAGTAGACTGACTTCTTAAATCCTAACACGGAAAGAAGACATTTATTTACAGACAAAAGTGTCATCTTAGTAAAGGCAAAGGTAATATAATTTTGGGTCAGGGAAAAAGGAAAAAAAGCTTTGGTCAAGGACGCCCTTTTAAAGCTTGTTTTGTTTGTTTCCATCATTCTTTTGAATAAACACAGCACTGGGTCAACTGCTGCTTTTGAGTTGCGTGTAGGTTGGGAGGGGCCTTTGCTACATTTCCCGCAGGCTGGCCAGGCGAGTTAGAGCTTTAAATGAGTGCTGTACTATTATTTTGACTCAGCTCCATATTCACAGTCATCAGAACACAGCAAAACAAACCCGAAGACGATCGGTCGTCCACCTAAGCAGGATTACTTGAAAAGAAGCAAGTGCGGAAGCTAGAAACCTGGTAGTGGAACTTTTTTTTCCTTCTTTCTGATGGACTGCCACTCTCTTCAAAATAGTCCTCGCATTTGTGCTTCGGAAGGAAAAGTACACCACACCAAAGCCCAAGGGATGTGGCTAAGGTCACTGAGGGCGGGTGGCTGGGGCGGGGAGGTAGGTGTGGAAGAAAAGTCGGAACCAGGTCAGAGAAAGCGCCAGCTACTCCCATACATTCCCAAGTACCGGAGGAACAGGGACAAAACACTGGACTTCCTCCCGTGCGGTCCGCTCACTGTTCTCTCGAAAACCGCCAGGCACCTCGCACTTGGGGAAAGGGTGGGGGCCGGGGGTGTTTACTCGGCTTCTCGGCGCAAGGACCCCACCGGCCAGCGCGGCCCCGGACGGCAGCCGGCCACCTTCGCTCCCCGAGCGGCCCACCGCCAGGTGCTCGCCCCACCTGGCGCCCCCTCCGGCCTTTGTGCGGCCCGCGCCGGCGCGCCGATGCCGGGCGGGACAGCCGCGGGCGCGGGCCGGGCGGCCGGCCGGCGCAGGGGACGAGAGGAGCCCACGGCGCCGGTGCTGCGCGCGGGGAGGGTCGGCTCGGAGGGGACGCCGCGGCCCGGAGGACCAGAGCGGCGCGCGCGGCTGCCCCACCTCCCCAGTGGGAAGATAAAGGATCCCCGCGGCCGGCCGTGCCCAGAACCCAGACTACCCACGCCCTGGCTTCCGACAGCTGGCAGCCATAGCAACCCGGCCACGAAAGTTTCGCGGCCCCGAGAGCGACTTGTAAGAAGTTTTCCCTGGCCCCTCGCTCCCTCTCCCCCAGCCCAGGATTACGGAAAGCAGCAGGAAACAGAGCTCGCGACGTGCCGCCTCCCGCGTCCACCTTCTCCACCCTGGCCTGGGCAGCGCGCCCAAAGTGGGTGCCCCGCGCCGCGGCTTCCCGCCCCATCCCGGGCTCAGGCGTCCAGGGACGCGGCGCGGCCAACTCACCATGGTGACTCGCGCCGCGGTCGCGCCGCCGCCGGGTCCCGCTGCCGGGGAGCTAGGGCTGGAACGCAGACTCCTGGGCGAACTTCAAAAGTTGGTTCCCTTCGCCAAAACCAGGCTCTCGACACCCAAGCACTCACAGGAGCCAATGGGAACCCTGGGGGGACTCCATCCAGGCGGGATCCGCAGCGCTAGGTGAGGCGAGAAGGAGGCGATCAGCAGGCGGGGTGCATGCTGCAGAGGGCAGGGGTCCACTCAGACCAGGGGCTCAGCGCCTGCCTAGGTAAGTCTGATACTCTCCCCTGCCTAGCTGCCCTACCTCTCTCTTCTTTCTTCGGGCACTTAACTCCGTACTCCTTTGGCTGAGCCTCGGCTCGGGCTGGGCAATCTGTCCATAAATGGAGAATTCACCTCAGGCCTGACCAATCAGAGTTTGTTTTCATAGCGTCACTCCTCAGGGAACCCGTAGTAGCCAACAAGCTTGGAGCTGCCGGAGTTTCCAAAGACCTCTGGATCCTGTAGTCCTCTTGCACGCCAGCCACCGAAGAGCGCTGCTCAGCCGGCTCCCGGTTCCAAGACTTCAACTGCTAGGAAGAAATCCTCTGGGAAACAGATGTAAACCTCTCACTTTTTTTTTTTTTTAATGCATATGTTAGAGTAGATGGGGCTTCCAAGCTGAAGGGGTATGATTTTCCCATGACTTTTTTTTTTTTTAGAAGAAGGAAGTATTTTATCAGCATAAAAGATCAGAGTCGTGGCAGCAGCCCAAAGGAAATCCTTTTTCTTTCCAACGTCTGGATTGTGAGGAAAGTCAAAAATATCATTTCCCCCGTACCCCTCCTTTTACCTGAATTTCCTAAGAAAACAAAGGAAGGCCTTTTTTTTCTTTTGGACGTTTGATGGCGAAGTTGCACTGCGTTGAGCAAAGGGACAGAGGAGAGGTAAGTGGGAAGGAAGCACCGTCTGACCCTCAATCATCACACGTGCATGGAGAACAATTAGCAGTACAATCAGAACTGTACATTATTCCAGAATGTGCAATTTCAATAAATCAGATGGAACGTGAGGGGAAGATTGGGGGAAAGCTGAATCCTGAAATAAAGGTAGGGAGTCTGGTTTTATTGTTTTAAGGGTTCAGGAAGTAAACTTGGTGGGTCAAAACAGAATTGCCCTCCTGGAGTCCATGGTAAGATTGGAAAACTTTAGGGCATAGAAAAAGTATGAAGCATGATGATTTACTTTATGAACCAAAGTGGTAGCCCTTACTTGAATATAGGATCTTGAGTTGAAATGGATGTTAAAAATCATCTTGTTGAGAATAAGTAAATAAAATGTAGTTCAGCTGACCCTTAACAATGTGTGGGTTAGGGGCACTGAGCCCCATGCAATCTAAAATCCTTGTATAACTTTTGATTCCCCAAAAACTTCATTACTAATAGCCTGCTGTTGACTGGAAGCCTTATCCATAACATAACATGAACAGTCAACACATATTTTGTATGTTATATGTACAGTTGACCCCTAAACAACACAGGTTTGAACTGTGCAGTTCCACTTGCATGTGAATTTTTTTCAATAAATATATTGGACAAAGTTTTGGAGACATACAGCAATTGGGAAAAACATTTTGTTTTCTCTGACTTTACTGTAAGAATACACTATATAATATATATAACATACAAAGTATGCATTAATCAACTGTTTATGTTATGGGTAAGGCCTCTGGTCAACAGTAGGCTGTTAGTAGTTAAGTTTTTAGGGAAGCAAAAGTTACACAAACCTGATTCACCAAATTCTTAGGTCAGTCTGAGTCCATGTCTCCAGGGTATGTCATTCTTCAGAATATGACCAGGTATTTTAGAAACTAATGAATAGAGGTTACCAAAAGGAAAATTTGAGTTTACCAGTAACACAGGAAACACTACTTTGTTTGGAAAAGACACACACTGCCTAAGCCACCATCCCATCCATTGTCGACCTTAATTAGCAGTTGGATTGACATGGCTTCATTCGAGGGACACAAGCAAAAACAGTTGTTTGCCCCAAGGTTAACCCAGGGATGCCAGACACTGTAAATCTCTTAACATCAACAACCTATCAATCTTGGGTTTCTAAAACTACCTTAACATGATTGGTCAGTTGTATTAACATTTGAGGTTTTTTAAAAATGCATACTTATACCTGCCCTAAGAGTCTCTTTCCAGTTTCAAGAGGTATTCTCAACTCTAGCAGGTGGGATTTGATGAAGGTACATGCTTGTGTTCATTTTTCAGGATTTTGTAATATAATTCCTTTCTAGATTGAAATACAAACATACACATTTATGCCTAAGTAATACTTGTAAGATTTAGTGTCATGTAACCCTGAATTTGAAGTCTGGTTTTTCCACTTAACTAGCTGTGAGATCTTAATTTCTCTGAACTTTAGATCCCTTTTCTATAAAATACATTGATGTGAATATGAGAAGAAATATGTGTAGATGGTCAACAAATGTTGGTTCCTTTTTTCCCTGCACCTATACCATGCGTTCTAGGTTAGGGATTCAGACCTGAGACCCAGAGTGAGATCAGATAGAGTGTGACCCTCTGAATTGTGTGCCAAGTCCTGGGGCTTTTTTGTGTGCCCTTTTCTTCAGGGAGAGTTAATAGCTTTCATCAAGTTCTCAAAGATGCCATAGCTGTCAAAACATTAAGACCCACAGCTCTTGATTATTTTAGTTATACCTCTCTGGGTCTTTGTCTCTATCGTGTTTTCTTGAGGCATAAGAATTAGAAATGAGTCTGATAGTATAAGGACAGAGGTTCAGCTTGGACCTCAAAGAAGAACCCACTAATTCACAGTTTGAACATAGAATAGTGTGTGATCATGTAATAGAGCCTATAATTTCATGAAGAATTCCTTCAAGCCCTGCCCCTGGTCCATCCTAATATTAGAAAGGTACACTGTCAGTTTGGCTAGGGTGATCACACATCCTGGTTTACCTGGGAGAGTCCTGGCTATGCCTTTATCTCAATCAAATGATTAATTGTAACCCCTTGCATTCCCAAAAAGGCCTAGTTTGAATGATAAATTATTTGGCGTAGATGTTTGGTCAAATTGCACCTCCCAAAAAATTCTTTCTTTTCAAAATGAAAGTTTTTCCAATTTTCTTGATTTACACCTATTTTTTCAGAGGACTCGGTAATATATTAGCAGATATGTATACTTCTTTGAGGTCAGTAGCAATGAAGTGAAAGCAACTTGTAAAATTGTAAAACTCATTCTAAACACTTGATGGAGCTAGTCAGATGGGACTTTATACCTATGTTGGCATGATTAACTGCATTTAATCTAGAGTTGAATGAAAGGACCAAAAGAAAAAAATCAAGATGCACTGAAAGCACAATTTCCCACATGAATCTGTCGGTGAAAAAAAAAATCACTGCTTATCCACCTTGGAAAACCATCAGTGAGAATTGAAACAAGTTCCATGTTATTACCATAAAAGAACATCAGCATGCAGTCACAACAATAAAAATAAAAAATTATTAATAGGAAAACTAGGCTAGAAATCTTTAACAAGACACTAATGAGAAAGAGCCTGTGTCAGAGCAATGTGAAATGTCCTGGGTAATCACTGTTTCTACCAGGACAGACATCATTTATTGGGTTCAGTATGTAACAGCTACTGAACCAAGTGCTTACTGTACAGTATCTTATCTCATCTTCCATACAACCATATTAACTTCATTCACATTTAAGAGATTAAACTGAGCTTCCCAACCTGGGTCTGGGAAGAATAGCTCCCATGAAGATGAAGGAGAAGAACGGTCGTCCTGCTACCGCAGAGGGAGGAGTGACCAGGGTGTGCCCCATCACCACTGGCAAGCAGATGCACAGAGTGGGCATCAAGAAGCAGGCCTCTCAATCACTCAAAGAGAACTGGGTATGTGCCAGGAAGGAGATGGGAACTCCAGATGTGCGCATTGATAGCAGGCTCAACCAAGCTGTCTGGCCCGGAGGAATAAGGAATGTCCAGCTGTATCCACGTGCAGTCGTCCAGGAAATGTAATGAGAATGAAGATTCTCCAAATAAGCTCTGTATGTTGGTTACCTATGTACCTGTAACCTCTTTCAAAATTCTGCAAGACAGTTAGTGTGGATGAGAACTAACCAGTGATTACCAAATAAAATTATAAAATTGAAAAAAGAATAGAAATTAAATTGAGAGAATTTGAAGTAATTTGCCCAAGCTAACACTCAGCTACCATGAATCAGATCTATATATTTGCTGGCCTCTGAAGCTCACACTCTGACCCTCTAAGCAGTGACTCTGTAATAGGATTGCCTATCAGAAGAGATTTTCCCTAATGCAGGCCCAATATGAATAGTAACATATTTATTAAAACCCTGGGAGACTGTCCAAAGCAGGGCTACTGGAAAAAAGTACTTTTTTTAATGGGACATAACAATTACATTTGTATAGTCAACTTTAAACATCTTTAAGCTTCTCCTAATGTTAATATTGATTTGTGAAAAGGTTATTGCAGAGAATTTCTCCACCTTTGGATAATATAATGAGATGCTACTTCTGATTTTAAAATTTTTGCTATAATGTAACAATTATTTTTACTGAAATAAAGGAGTTACTATATAAAAATAAAGGAACAAAATATTTTTAAAAGTTTGAACTGACAGCTTATTGAATGCATGTTTTTATTATTATATTTTCTCTGACTTAAACCAATGTTTTCTTTTTTCTCTTCCAGTTTCAATTTGATGTTTATATTCAGAAGATAAACATTGACCTTTCTCCAGATTTAAAAATGACTGAGTAATTAGTAATACTAGTTGTGGGGTTCCATGATCTGACCAGGAGCGAGGTGTTCCACAGAAGTGAGCTTTTCAGATAATTGAATCTTCTGAATCAACTCTGTCCACACCCTGGTTTTCTTCTCCTTCCTTCCTGTCAATTTATGCTATCTTATTGGATTTTGTGTTTTCTTGTAAGTCATCTTTAATCTTGGGCGGAACCTGGCAAGGCCTGTAGAAATAAATAGATGCATTTAAAAAACTAAAAAATGGCAGATAACTACATGAATCTTGCCTTTTTAAAGCACCAATACTTTTTTTAACTTGAAAATTTTTCTGAAATAAACTACATGCTTCATTGCCTTTGAAAATGCGCTTAATGTCAAATAGCTCGTGCCTGAAGACTCAAGGTCATCACTATAAATATAGATCATCACACAGGGTTGTACTGAGCTGAGGTTCTTGGGGACCATTGAATGGAATGACATTACCACAACACCTCACGGCCGTGGACCATTGTGCTTGCACAATTCTCCTGCCTTTTATGGGTTTTGATTTTTGGCTTTTTAAAGTTTATATTGTCCATTTCCAGAGACTTTTTTTCTCCTGCTATATACTGTTCCAATTTAGTGTCTTTAGTAACAAAGAGCAAAACAAGCACATGGTTTGCATCATGAGAAAGAAATGTTAAAGGTATATACGCTGAAGAGCCTAGGGAAAGCCCAGGGTAGGTCTGTACTCGCTCTGGCCTTTCCTGGATGCCTGGCTTCTCTAAATGGGTGGATGTCCTTCTGTTTCTTCAAGCTTCTCCCACTTACAATCACTCCTCCCCCCATAATTTCAGCTGGCATTGTCTTCCGTTTGTCATGATCCCAACTCAGGACCCTGAACAACATTTCAGCAATGCTGCCCACAGCTCACTGGAAACTTCCCTCTTGGTCACTTGGATTCAAGTTCCAGAGCAAAAAAAGAGAGGGAGAAAGAGAAAATCTGACTCACCCAGTTCAAGCTTCCAAACCACGCCACCCAGGCTATAGGTCACTGGAAAGCCTATGGAAGGCTCTGCTTAGACCAGGTGTCTCTACAGTCACATTCCAAGCAAATGTTGTCATGGGTGGTGTCTCAAAGCTACTGTCCCACTAAGGAGATATGAGGAATGGGGACAGTCTCTGAGGAGGGGACCCGTTAGGCACTCCAAATTTGGGGCATGCAGCAGTTTGCCACTTGCATCTGTCTGCTGCTTTAATTAATACACAGTTTTCTTGGTGAGGCCATGGGGCCAATTCCATTCAGCTCTTCAACAGCAAAAAAAATGCATTGGTTTTGAACAATCATTGTCAGTTCAGCTTTATCCATCATACACCTATAAATGTCTTTATATATTTCTATTTAAGATGTGACATATGTTTTGCCTTTATTATGCACTATTTGTGTGTTTATATATATATGTCTATAAATATTTGTATATACATAAAGATATGTATATGTGTGTATTTAAATGACATATTTTTTTTCAAGATATTGTTATAAACACCTGGGAGGATTTACTTTTTTAGACTTCATTTTATAGGGCCAGAGTTGCAATTTTAGGGTCACAGCAGAATTGAGGAGAAAAATACAAAGATTTTTCATATATTTTCTGCCCCCACACATGCATAGCTTTTGCCACTACCAACAGGGGAATTTACTTTGAATAGCGTTACTTAGTGTTGGTGACTCTATATGTTGGCAGCATGGTTTCCAAATCACTAGTGTTTTCTCTACTATGACACACGCATTTGCTGAGCACTATTATAGGTGCTGGAGAAGTGTAAATAAGTGCCATGTCCCCATAGGACTCATGTCTTTCCACGTACATCAAAAATATATACAATAAGGATGTGCTTGTGAAAAGATGGTGGAGTCTGAAGGCAAGGTAGAAATCTCCCCCCACATACACACCAAGGAAGCAATCACACCAAATAACAATTAACCCTGAAAATGACTTGAAGAGTGTAGAACAGACCATCTACACCTGGTGAAAAAGAGATGACATGGAGAAAGGCAAAGTGTCAGAGCTGCACTTAATCAGGACCCAAGCTCCTACCCCACCCCAGCCTGCAAGTGGGAGGAAGAGGAACTGAGTGGGGAGGGGAGGAGCACTCAGGAATCTGGCCCACCTGGCCCTGGAGAGCTGGTCTGGGAATATGAGTCCACATTGCACTGGTCTTCGGTGACTAATAGGGCTGGACACCAGGGAGAGTTGAAGCAGTCTGGAGGCTGAGATCCCTGCCCTTTGGGGAGGATGGGCACACTAAATCAGTCCTGCTCAAACCCAACACAGAGGGGGCAGTTTAAAAGATTTACCAGCAACAGGGAAGAGTGCCAGAGGGGCAGGGGTCAGAGGGAGCTCTCTGGAGGAAAAAGGGCAGGATGAACAACACTGGCCCTCCCTCAGCCCAAACTGGTTTGGCATTCCCAAGAACCAGCCCCAAGGGCTCCATTCCCCTTGCTGGGGGCTTAGCCTCAAGGCACTTCCCTGTGCACCTGCCCCACAGGCTCAGCAGCACCACGATTGCTGATCAGCAGGCAGAGGGCAGCCCAACCCACAACATCCCAGAAGTGCACTGTACCTCCACTCAGTTCACAAGGGCACAAAAGGAGCTGTCAGCCACCGCTGACAGAGATCAGACACTGTCTTCAAAGCAGAAAAGTGGCACTGCTCACAGCTCATCAACAGCAACTGCAGCTCCACCATAAAGGAGAACCAAGCATTGGGGAGCAGAGGCTGCAGCTTCTGGGCACCACAGGGCACCTTCTTCATAAAGCCATTAATTTCTAGACAAGGCGTAGCTGATCTACCTAATACAAAGGAAGAAACAGAAGCCCAGACAAAATGAGGCAATACATGTTTCAAACAAAAGAATAGGATAAGACACCAGGAAGAGGGCTAAATAGAATGAAGATAACCAATCTTGATAAAGATTTGATAATAGTCATAAAGTTGCTTACTGACCTGCAGAAAAGAATTGATCTCAGGGAGGACTTCAACAAAAAGAGATTTGAAAAAGAGCCACTCAGAGCTAAAGAATACAGTAGCTGAAATGAAATATACAATGGAGGGAATGAATAATAGATTGCTGCAAGTAGAGGATGCACTCAATGAGATGGAAATTAGAGAACAGTAAAACAATGAAACTGAGGAACAGAGTATAAAGAACTTCTAAAAATAAGAGGATGTTAAAAGACCTCTGTGACAACTCTAAATGAAACAATATTCGTATAATAGGGGTACCAGAAGAAGAGAAAGATGAAGTAGAAATTCCTGTTGGAGAAATAATGGCCAAAAACTTCCCCAATCTGGGGAAGGAAATAAGACACCCAGGTCCTGAAAGCTCAGAGAACCCCAGAAAGACAATACCAAGGCATACAGTAATTAAAATGGCAAAGATAAGCAATAAGGAGAGAGTATTGAAAGCAGCCAGAGAAAGAGAAAAGATTACTTCTAAGGGAAGCCCCATCAGGCTATCAGCAGATTTCACAGCAGAAAATCTATAACCCAGAGGGAGTGGAATGAAATATTTAATGTATTGAAATGGAAGATTCTGCAAACAAGAATCCTCTACCCAGCAAGGTTATCATTCAGAATTGAAGGAGATGCTAAAAGTTGCCCAGATATAGTTAAAGGAATTTACCACCACTAAACTGGTCTTACAGGATATGTTAAAAAGACTTCTGTATATTGAATGCTCATAAGCCTAAGTATTTTTCATCAGTGAAAATAAACCCACCGTAAGGTAGCAGATCAATTAGTAAGCAAGTATGAAGTTTAAAAAATGAAAAATAGTAAAACCAACTATACACAAGATCAGTCAAGGGATTCACAAAAAATGTAGATTATGAAATATGATACCTAAACTGTGGAGGAGGAAGAAGAAAAATGAAGTACTTTTAGATTGTGTTCAAAATAGAGCAACCATCAACTTAATATAGATTACAGTGTATTTAGGAAACTGTCTATTAACCTTATATTCTTGTGGGAACCACAGACCTAAAGCCTATAATAGATACACAAAAACTTTTTAAAAAAATAAAATCTAAAACACAACACTAAAGAAAACCTTCAAATAACAAGAGTACAAGAGAGAAAGAAAGGAACAGAACAACTACAAAAATAAGCAGAAAACAATAAAATGGCAATAAGTACACACCTATCAGTAACTACCTTAAATATAAATGGACTGATGGCACCCACCAACAGACACAGGGTGGCAGAATGGGTAAAGAAACGAGACCCATCTATAGGCTGCCTACAAGAGACTCATTTCAGACACAGAGACATACACAGACTGAAAGTGAAGGGTTGGTAAAAGATATTTCATGCAAATAACAGGGAGAAAAAACCAAGAGTACCTAGTACTTATATCAGACAAAATAGACTTCAAAACAAGAAAGTAACAAAAGACAAGGATATTACATAATGATAAAGGGCTCGGTCCAATAAGAGGATATAGCAATTGTAAATATCTATACACCCAACATAGGAGCACCTAAATATATAAAACAAATATTAACAGAACTAAACGGAGAAATAGCAATACCATAACATTAGGAGACTTTAACACCCCACTTCCATCAATGGAAAGATCATCCAGACAGAAAATAAATAAGGAAACAAAGGCATTGAACAACACATTAGATCAGATGGACTTAACAGATATCTACAGAACATTCCATCCAAAAACAGCAGGATACATATTTTTCCCAAGGGCACATGGAACATTCTCCAGAATAAATCACACACTAGGCTACAAAAAGAGCCTTAATGAATTTAAAAAGATTGAAATTGTATCAAGCATCTTTTCAGATCACAATGATAAGAAACTAGAAATCAATTACATGAAGAAAACAAAAAGACCCCACAAAAACATGGAGGCTAAATTACATGCTTTAAATAATTATTGGATTAATGAACAAATCAAAGAATCAAATGATCAATGAATAATCAAATAATATGAACAAATCAAAACAAAAATACAGCAGTTCAACCTATGTGGGACACCACAAAAGCAGTTCTAAGAGGGAAGTACATAGCAATACAGGCCTACCTCAAGAAAGAAGAACATTCCCAAATAAAAAGCCTAACCTCACAACTAAAGAAAACTAGAAGTAGAAGGACAAATGAAAAGCAAAGTTAGTAAAAGAAGAGACATAGTAAAGATCAAAGCAGAAATAAATAAAATAGAGAAAAAT